AAGTTAAATATATACATCACTAACAATCTAACTAATTAACTAATACAGAAAATTTACATAAAGTTAGAGATACACCTAGAAATTAGCCAATTGCCTGAAGAAAAGAGACTTACAGATATTTATTTTTATAACCAAAAGGATGTTTAAAATTAAGTCAGAGGAAAGAGTGAACAATAATATATTTGGGATGTCAAGACCTATTTCTAGTCACAAGTTAAAACTTTAGAACAGAAAGACTTGTTGGAGGGACCAGGAAGACTCATCAAAGCATAGCAAAAACTTTAAACTTATGTCTTTTTAATGGGTTTGGAAACTCTTAAGGTATGGATCTACCTTCTCCAGGATAAAGATAAAGAATGAAGGATTACAGATATGAATTTGTAATTATTCTAACTACATTTAAAAAAAGCAACAACACCTCTTACATGTTGTGCTCTCAATCATAGAAGATTAAATCTGCACAGAAAAAATAAAACTTATTTTAAGAAATGATTATTCATTTTTAGATCATTTTTGCACTGAACATCATTTTTAGACCCTAGAAAAGCAGCCAGCAATGTTCTCAAAATAAGTTAATAAACACTTGATAAACAAAAAACTATATAAAATAATAATAAAAAAAATAAATCTCAAAAAACATCTTAAGTGGGAAATTTCCAATTCGTGAAACTACATTCAAAACTGCATATTGTAAAAATTGTAGACAATGCTAATAAATGTACATTTATGCTACAGCCGTCTAGACTAAATGAAAGAGTTTATCTGATGAAACCTTTCATTTCCTCTTTTTATTCCTGAAACTATTGTAGTAAACTCAGGAACAGGTTTCAGTTCACAGAGAAAAAACAAAAAAAAAACAAAGAAAGAAGTGCATTGGTTTCAGGGTCACATCTCACTTTGGGTAACAGTATGATGTTTCATCATTTAGTCGACTGAGCTGCCCTCAGTCGGTTAGTACATCATAGCCATAGAGTTGTGCTTCGGAGGTTAATACACTAATACATAACCTCATTGGGATTACTTTCTGTATGCCCATATAAGGCAAGAGCTCCCAGATTGTCCAACTAATGTTCTCAGGCATCATCAAGTGCAATAACTGGAAGGGTCAGACAGCCCACGGATCTCTCCAGATTCTCGGAACCGTGGAAAGTTACTCAGCAGCCCATGATGTGTGCATTTCATCTCACTCTAGTTGGGCTAATGTTTAGTGGAGGACAGAGCCATTAGGAGGAAGTGGTCAAAGGAAGTAAGAGGTAGTGGGAGTGATGGGGGGGCTTTTAAGAAACCATTTTATAAACACAGACAGTGAGAGCAATAACACTGAGCATGTTGATGTAAGAGAGTAAAATACACAAATGGCAGCTGAATGTGCTGGTTCATTTGGGTAGAAGCATGAAGCAACATTGGTTATTCAGTCTGACCAGGCAGGGAGAGTGATGATGCTCACACCCCAGTACAGGGAAGAGAAATGGTGTCATTATGCTGCAGGTTGGCCTGTGAAGAGACCAATGAAGTACAGCAGGATGACTATATCTGCAGACCAGTGGCTGTCAAGGCATGTAAAATAAATCAAAATGAGAGAAAGAGAGGGAGACCAAGAGAGAGAGAGAGGGTCTGACTTTGAAGCTTAGAAGTTGCTCGCAAAGATAAAAGCTATGATAAGATGTGCAAATGATTCATAGTACAGTATTGAGTTAGGAGTGGAGAAGTGGGAGAGCTGCACAAAAGCCTGAGTTCTTCCATCGTGCTCATGTGTGAACTCACCCAGGGACTGACCACAGACAAGCCGCAATACTTTCATATCATGCCTTTGAGTTGGCCAGAAATGAAAGTATGGCTTGTAGCAAGAAACCCACACTGTTCTGTAGAGTCAACTCCATCCATAGCAACACGTCCACTGTGAGACCAGAATGCCTTCAAGCAACACTATAAACAAGTGCAACTGATATCAATCATCTAGATCCAATAAGTTGGAGAAGACTGTACTACATGTAACCGGATTACAGTAATCCGATTAAAAAAAGAGGTAAATGCATTAAATATGTCCTTCCTGCAGGTGTGTCGAAGAAAGAAGGAATATACTGTAAAGGTGACATTTGGAGGTTTTTCCCTGGCCCAGATATTTCAAGAAAGTGAGTGATAAGGAAATTTGTAAAGAACATCAGCATTGTTACTTTAAATAGAACAACGTCTACAAGAGCAGAAAGTGCACTAAAAGCACTGTGAAGATTTGTAAGAAAGAAAAAGAGCCCTACTTTACTTATCCAGCAGCTTTAAAGACACAGATCACAAAGTGGTGTAAAGAGAAAAACTAAAAAAATGGAATTATGCATATTTTTAGTAACCCTAATCAAGTGTTTCTAAAATACTTAAAAGTAATGGAAAGTGTGACAATAGATGTAAAAAAGAAAAGATAATGCGTGAGCTTTCAGACTATATGTCAAGGCTGCTGTCATGAAGCTGGCATCGAATTGTGAGGGCAACTGTCTAAAAACTGTGCAAGATGCTTTTATTCCAAGAGTCTCAGCTCAAATTGTGTGGTCACAAACCTTTTAGTAAATAAATAAAAATATATCTAAAAATAGAAAAATAAACAGTGTATGTTATTTATGTATGGTTTATGTATTTTTAAACTTGGGTGCGTGTTGTTTTATTTTCAGTTCAAGTTATTTCAAATTTTTCTATTCATTTAGTTAAATTCAGTTTATTATTAAAGTGCCGATTTAAACGGTTGAATGTTTTTTATCTAAGTGAACCCAGAAGATTGTATTGACTTTGCAGAATTTCCTACTCCTGGATGAGCATGTAGGGTTTGCTAGCGGTGTGCTGTTGACTTTGTAGCAATACTTCATAATAAGCATGCATGGAGCGAGAGTGGAGAGGAAAACTGCTTTTTAACAGAAAGCAGAATCAGACTCAGTGTAAACTGCACTGTGATTTGGCGAACAATGGTTTTGAGATTGAAACAGACATAGAAAAGGGACAGAGAAGTGCTAATCCACAAGTACTTTCTACATTAGAGACGGTAATGGTAGACTAGCTCCATAAGTGGCTTTGTCTACGAAAGAATATTTAAGCAAACAGACAATGAGCTGGTTTTCAGAAGGAGAAAATCAAAAGGTAAGCTATACTATTTGAATCAATTTGACTGTATGATCTGGTTGAACTGTAAAATGCCTTGTGTTGTGAATTGGCGGTATATAAATAAACTGAACTGAATTAAATTACTTGAACTGAAAGATTACCAAAATATGAAAATGCTGACCAGGCTAGCTGACAGCCTTAGTTGGACAACATAAGCTGATATGGACACCATCTCGTCAGCAGGCGAGGCTAAAACAGCTTCTCAAAAAAAATTTTATTTTACCGGTACTCAGAAACCCATTTCTGAGTGAATCCACCAGGTATTTTTTATGACCCTTTAAAAAATCTGCCAGAGGAAAGGGATATTGGAAGCTTTGCATGGGATGTTAGGCTAGGTTACTCAATAGATCATTATGCCTTACATAAGTACAATCCATTTCAATGAGCCGCTGCAGCATTTTAATTCTGTGCGGCTTTCTGGCCAGCTGCAGGGGGGCGTGTTCAATACAAAATAGCAAGCTGACCACACCACGAAGTAGAAAACACAGCTATTTACAACTTATTTAAAGTCTCTTCATCCCGTCCAAGAGTGTCAGTCAATTCTTCATGTGTTTTTCCACAATCCATTGATAGTGGTGATAATTATCAGCTAAATCATAGGATGTCTCTAGATGTTTATAATTGCGAACCCTCGCTGGTAGGAGCTGTGTTGCCTGCTATGTTTTTCCACCCAGATCTGTCAGTATAGTTAAAGTTTTCCTAGATGCAAGGTGCGGAAAGCAAAAAAATTATGTCATTTGGCCACATGGACCTAGCGAATGCATCAAGCATAAACCATTCTTAAAGGTATAGTTCAGGATGCTGTTTTTTTAGGTGGTTAAGCAAAATAAGCAGTCCTCCTAATTATCAACCATTCTGGTGATATGTTTACGTAATCATCCATACGTGCTCGTCCCCATTTTCAATTACTGGTGGAGAGTCTGAGATAGTGGAAAATAGCAAATCTACTTTTGTAAAGTAACCTTATATGAGCGATGCAAACAACAACTTTTAAACAGAGCATGCACGAGGAGAAAATGGCTCATGCATGCTCTCCCACACGTTTAATAGACGTTCCCTCACGGAAGAAGGTACAGGACTGTGCTTGTGCATTTTTTTTAAAGGGGAGAGGGCAGGTCTTCAAAATTCTTCAAAGATTTACGAAAATCATCCACTATACCTTTAAGAGTCACTTTGCCTACTTAATCTTACAGTATGTAAAAGTGTTTTTAACCTCAGTCATGCAAATTCATGTTGGCACAAAGGTTATTCATCCATTTATATCATTTAATGGTTATCTTAGGTCGTTTCTAAGGTGTTTCAAGACTGAAAGGAAAATTAAATCCCTTTATTTGGTGTCTGTCAATAAATGGAAAAAGCAATCTGCAGCCCTTATCTTCTAAAAACCTATTCAAAAGTTAACTCTACACCTTTACCTGGTACTGTAACCTGTCTGACGATGCTATAGGTAATAGTTAGATGGGTACAGCTATAAAGGGTTAATAACTTATTATTAAGACTAATCAAGATTGGAGAACTGCAGCTTAGAAAACTTTTAATTGGCAAAAAATTATTTCTTAGGTCAATGTGCCACATTGAATCTAGTAAGCATTAAAACGGACACCTTTAAAAAATAGCAGGTGTTAATGCCTTCTGATGTCCAAATTACAAACCCATGTATTTGTCTCTTACCCGTACTAGTCTGATTAATCAGGAAGAGGCCACTTTTCTTGCCAGTGTCACGCTTTGGTTTTAATTAATGATTTACAGACGGCAGGAGAGACGAAGGGGGGTAAAAGAAAAGGGCGAGGGTGTCAGGCCACATGAAATCTCTACCGTTGCTCCGTTGCTAATTGCGCACGCAGGGGGTCTCTTACCTTTGCTGCTCCGATTTGCTCCTTACGAAATTTTTCCAAAGGAGTAATCAAGACATCATCAGCATTCTGAATCTGAAACAGAAGAGCGGAGAAAAGAAAAAGAGAGAGAGAGAAGATGTCATCCTGACTGAAAAATGGGATTGGAGTCACTGCAACCCTGTGAATGATTCAAAATAACATCAAGAAAAATGTACTACAAAACCCAACTTAGAAGTCATTCAGGTTCGTTATAGTTGTGTCACACAGGAAATTATCAGTGAGAATTGCCCACCTCAAATGAAAGGAGCCGAGTGGGTGTATAAGGTTCAAATAAACATTGAAGGTAGCACAATCAGATTCATTAGTATCCCTTAAAGCAGGGATAATACACGACCTGTTCCTGTGAGGGGCCGAAATGAGCAAAGCAGAGATAAGAGAAAAAGCACTTAACAATGGCAGCAGTTTTATGTGAGCTCTGAAGCAGCAGGATTTTCGAACCTCGCTGAAATATGACACGGATGTGCAGATGAGGCAGCTTTACAAGCGCAGCCTGTGATGCATTTTAATTTCTGAGGCAGTGCTCGACTCCACATGTTGGCGACCTCTGGAGTGTCACGACTAGAGAGAAAGGTCTCTCCTGTGGCCTCTCCCTTTTTATTCTAGACAGAAAGCGATAGGGTGAGATATATTGTGCCAATTACAGTTCACACTCAATCCTCATGGGTGAGCGGTTCAAAAAGGTGCCATTAAGGTGCTTCTGAATTTCCTTCGGGTGGGTTTTCATCCGCCAGGATCAGATGACATCAGGCTGTTGGAGCCGCTCAACAGGAGGCTCTGTCACAAATGACATTGTTCTTAAGGTGATTTAAGGTGCGGTTCTATGTGGTGAGTAAATGTGACAAACTATGGACCAAGATCTACTGTAGTACATCCATGATACCGGGACTAATTTAGTGCTGTCAGCTCAGATGGGCTATCAGCTCCTGAGCCGTAATCCTCTCAACACAACCTTTCTGCAGGCAGAGTTTTTGTTTGGAACCATTAATCTAAAGGCACAGAAGCATCACAAATACAGTCAGTTGCTTTAAAAATAGTTTTAAAATCTTGCTGAAGCAAAATAAATTTGCAGCTACTTGTACAGAGCTGTGCATTATGTCACATCTATCAATTTACAACCATAGAGAACACTTGTTTATTGCAAAGGAGAAAAAAAGCCCACACACTTTCTTCTAACATGAGCTTTTTCAACTTTCCACTTAAATGTTTCAGGTGATGAAAAATAATATCACATAAGGATAACCTCAGTAATTAAAAAAATCTCTTTGTAAATGGGTGTGCAACCCTAAAACATTTGTTAAAACTGCCAATGAACCTTCAAGGAAAGTGATGGGAGCGATTTTGAGACTTTTCTTTGCAATCATTTTTTCAATGGACCTATACTATACAACCCCCCCCTTTATTTTTTATTTTTTTGCTTTTACTAACTTTCTAGTTATGATGGTGTTTTACTTTAATTATGCATGTCTAACCAATCCTCATGATATCCTCTCTCTTAACAGCAGCCCCTTCCTGTCTTGGAACAACATTTGGCCATTTTATGTAGGAACGCGTTAACCCAATCCGCTATACAGTAGCTAGCATCTAATTTGACCATTCTGCGCCTGCCCAGTAAATAAATCTTCCACTTTCAAAGCAATCATTTCTGCTCAATAATAAGATGAGGTGACTATTTTAGCACCTAAAATGCATATTGACAGAAACTCAATGAAAGTAATGTAAAAATCCTGAAATTATTTTTTCGGATGCAAAAGGTCTCAGACTTTGTTCACCCTTCCTAAAAAAAAAAAAAAAAAAAAAAAAGCCGAGGAGAGTTTGCATAAAAAAGATCTTCCAGTCACTTCTGAATGCTGATGCAAGGTTTTGAACCAAGAAGAGCCAGATCATCAGTGCAGTTTTAATCTCCTTTCATTCTCTGCTGGTGCATTAAAATGAATCTCAAAATGTCAGTCTTTTGACTTTTAGAGTCTAATGTGGTCAAGCACTTGTCTATACTGTATCTCTCACCTTCCAGAGCCCGACACCTCTGACATATTCCACTAAAAGGTTGTAAATAGTTCCTTGAGCACATTTTTAGACCAGAGGGGATAAATCCTCTTGAGTTGTGATCTCAAGACTGTGAAATGTGCTGCTTCTGTCTTTGTGTCTTCATTCTGCTGAGTCTTTTAAGAGGCAGCAGAAGAATCAATTATTCAGATATACTTATAAATAACTTTAGGCATTGTGTTATTTTTGTGCCGTTTAATTTATCTTTTTTAATATATGATTTTATACTTGTTTATATTGAAAAGTATTGTCTTTATTACCCTATTAAAGGGGATAAAGTTTACTTACGTGCACACTTCTTAAGGTCATACTTTGAACTTTGACTATGCTACTAATTTGGCCATTATGCCTACCTCTGATCAGCATAACGGCTGTGAAAAGGGTTTACTTGCTTACCTGCACATATAATAGAAACATGTCTGAGTCAGTGCTTTGAAAATGAATTAGTACTTTTGATAGTACAGTTGGGCTTGTTTAAGTGTATGACTATAAGGTGTTTCCCCAACATTGTCCAAGGAGGGCACCCTACAGATCTACATGCAATTATAAGGAAAGCTGTTAGACCACAATATGCTTATAAATGTCTTGCTTTGACTATATCTTTAAAATAAAAGTTACATATCCTAAAGACAGTTATTTCACACTTTAATAATGAGTGGTATCAAAGGTTTAACTGAATCAGAATTCATCATGTGCATCACTGACTCACTGAGTTCGCTTTGACACAGAAGACAAGCAGGGAACGTTTGGTTTGTGTGGATGGTGTAAAGGTGGGCAGCCTGGTCAAACTGTAAGTGCCAGACCACTGGGAATGTCTCAGAAATGTCAAGGACAAACTGCATATGAATTGGCAGCAGGCAGTTGGGGGATGTGCTGTAAGAAGTCTGCATGCACTGGCTTACCACAATTTTAATGGTGCTGTTTAGCAAGCTGGAACTTGATGTTTTTTTTTGTTGATGAGGAAAGATAGTTGCAGTCCTGTTTGTCTGTGATCATGGTGATCCTGAGGAACTATGTTGAATCCTGTCAAAGATCTTGAGATTGTACAATTTACAGAACACGTAAAGGTCAAAACACCCTACACTATGATAGAAAGTAATATAGTATCAGAAATAGTAGGATATAGTGGTGCAATGTTGCCTCATATCAAAATTAGCTTAAAAGAAAAAGTATTTTCCTTTTTTATCTCTGAATAAAGATATAATTACGGTCACAACACCATAAACACACAGGGAGCTAATGATGGTAGGACATTTTTAAATAAAAACTGGTCATTAATGACCCTGTTTGTCAGAATGCTTTTTAATAGATTGGAAAACAAAACTGGCAAGTTAGTTAAAATATCCTTTATTAGTGCTGTGTTTTCACATTTAGTCACCCTAGAAAACTGGCCTTCTCCACCTAGTATGACAACCTGGTACTAGCTATATTCAACAATTACATTTAACCAGAAATTGGTCATAAAGTCAATAAAGCCTGGTCCTTGTAATAAAGCACTTTATGATAAAATAATGCACAGTATTTATCATTGCAGTTGTACATTACAACAAAATGTGTGCTCTACGTACATTTATTCCACCCTTTAAGAAGCAATGAGCAGCTTGCAGGGCTTGGGGTTAAATGTATTGCTTATGGACCAAGAATGACAATCTATGATCTGAATCTAGACTACAGTAGGGGATGGATAAAAAACAATTCATTTCGAACCAATGACAGAAAACAGCTTATTGGGTATTTTATCACTTGAACCAATTTTCAGGTAACAAACCTAACCCCATTTGCTAGTTCAAACCCCTATTCTAACTCTGTTATTTTATAAATTAACTCAGGACTTGAGGATCTGATCCAGGATCTGGTTACTTTTACCTAAACAAAATAAAAATATATTAAGTGTGAATTACACCTATGATATGAGTAGCAAATTGTCATAATGTAGAAAACATAAGATGTAATTCATATTATATGTAAACATTGCTAAAATTGCATGTTTTAGACACACCGAATTTTAAAATGAATAAGAATCCTAATATGTATATGCATATTTAACAGGGAGAAAGGAAAAGGAGATATGATTCTGCAAGGATAAACTATTAATGAATCACATTTGGTAAACCAGTGAAAAGTATCATGCAACATGGTATTTTTGAAACCTAATAGTTATGAAACAAATAATATTAACATATTTCTACCTGAGATATTACCAAGAGACATCATTGCTAAATAACACATTTGGTTGAACCAGTGAGGGTTTTTGGTGTATATGTAAAATAAAAATCAATCAGCCACTGATAAAATAGTATGAGCTTTTAATAAATGAGGTGGTACCTATGTCAGGGTAAATTAAGGCAATGGGACACTCTAATCTAGATGTACTAATCCTCCAATTATCTAAAAATGACTGTTATCTGGTGAGCAAACAGCAGTATCCTATATTACCCTTCCATTGTGATGTTTTTATTCCTCTGTCTCTACAGCTTTTAGTTTAATTGAACTGCTTTAAATGTAGATTACTATTTTTGTCTTGCTTAACATTAACTCATCATTTCAACAATATTTTTATTGAAACGAGTGCTTGAAATACTTTGGGCATGTAATCATTAAGGGAAAAGATTTTAATATAGATTAAAATTGTAATACTTTGGGATACATATTTATACATGAAAGCAGTCAACTTATTTAATACTCAGTGGATTACTTTCAGGCTGGAACTGTGCCCACTGCCCTCAGCAACAACCTCTCACAACAGGATTAAATCCATAGGAGCCGGCTTGATGTGATGCTTGAAAGGATGCAATAGCACTAAGCAATTTCATTACTAGATAGAAGAGAGAATATCAATGTGTCACATTTTCCCTGCTCCTGGTTTTCCCCAGTCTACATATCGGATAATGTAACTCTGAGGTTAATTTAGCAGAAGAAGATTAGAATGCCACCAAGGCTGCACCAAATTGAAAAGTTTGAAATGAACCAGAATTTTAGAACTGTCTTAA